GGGGGGGTGGGAGGTACCCAGGTTGGCCTCAAACTCACTATGTAATTGAGGCTAACCTTGAATTTCTGATCCTCCTTCTTCCACCTCCCAAATGCTGAGATCACAGGCAAGCATCTGTTATAGGATATTTATAGATTGTGTGTAGGTGTATGCTGTGATTGGTGTAATAAAAAGCTGAATGTCCAATAGCTAGGCAGTTGGTATAGGTGGGATTCCTGGGGAGAAAAAGGAAGAGAAGGAAGAATCTAGGCACACATGCAGGAGATGCCAGGAGGCATGGAGAGGAAACAGGAGGTGAAGATGGAAGAGAGGGTAACACCACTTGATAGAATGTAGATTAATATAAATGGGTTAATTTAAGTTAGAAGAGCAAGTTAGAAGTTGGGTGGTGAGCCGGGGCGGTGGTGGCCCATGCCTTTAATCCCAGCACTTGGGAGGCAGAGGCAGGAGGATTTCTGTGAGTTCGAGGCCAGCCTGGGCTACAGAGTGAGTTCGAGCAAATTCCAGGACAACTAGGGCTGTTGCACAAAGAAACTCTTTCTCGGACAAAAAAAAAGCTAGTTAGGAATAAGTCTAAGCTATAGGTTGAGCTCTCATAATTAATAAGAAGTCTCTGTGTGGTTATTTGTGAGGTGGCTGACGGAAGGAAATCTGACTACTATATATCATGCCCAGTGTGGGGCTTGAATATCCACACAGGGCCTGAGACAGAGCAGAGGAGGCCCTGCTGTGAAGCAGAGCACTTGAGCTGGGGTGGTAAGGCAAGGCTGGAGGGGCAAACAGAGCAAGGCACCAGAGCTGCATGGCGGCTGGAGTAACCATTTGAGGTTTGTCTTGCAGTCAGAGAATGCTGCAGGCACACAGTAAAGTGGTCCAGACTTAGAAAACCTTTAATTTACTGTAAGAAATGGGTATAGACAGTCATAAAAAGAAATAGTTAAAAAATAATAGTTTTTAAAGAGAGAGTAAATTAATATAAAAAAAGCCACAGATGGGAAATACACAGGGTGCCCCAATCCTGTCAATTTTGTTGACTTTGAATTTTTTAAATGCTAGCATACAAAAACCAATAGCTGCTGAGAGACACTGGATTATGGAAACTGCTACGTTAAACCAACCTATATATTTTTAAAATGTCTTAATTTTAAAATGTAAGTCAGAAAATATGTTGCATTAGGGGAGAAGTTATGACTTTGTTTCCACAGGAAACAAAAAGTTGTGGTTCCTTTCAAAATTAATGAAGATCAGATTTGATTGGGGGAGACCTGAAAATCTTGACTACAGACATGAAAAAAAAAAAAAACAAGAAAGACTACAGGATAGGTGATGTACATACTGATCCCTCTACGTGGGAACAGCTCTGAGACTTCATGAGACATGATAAATTTTGTTGGCTACAGAGTTCTCATGATTTATTATGGCATGACATCCTTTCATATTGCATGGACAGAGGTTTGGTTATCCAGTCCTAAACGACATATAAAGTTGACAGATGCCTTTTACCTGCTCAAACATAAAACAACAATCATTTTTCTCTGACTTGTGCACATTGCACATTCCATACTTGTGTAAATGCAAATGTTTATGTTACCTTTAAAAGTTTGTGTTTTCAGAAAAAAAGGACCAGACAGCAATAAAAACAAGTAGTCTAGGTGATCCAACCTCAGAATGACTCTCTTGCAATTTCCTAAAAATCCTGCAACCAGAACAACTTCAAAGCTTCTAGCTGAAATGGTCTAGCTTCATCCACTATTCCAGCCAGGACTTCAAATAGACTCTATAGTTTTCCATCACATAGAGACTAAACAAAAAAAAATACAGTTAGCTCTCCCAGGACTTGACCATTATGTCAATTTTCTCAGGGTCCCCTAAAGATGCTGTCATCCCCAGACAACAGGAAGCAGTCTAGATAACACAATGCCCACATTTCCAAGAGATGGAGTGGGTGGTTTTTGGTCATTTGATGGGTTATAGATGTTTGTCATCATTTAGGGGGGTTGGTTACAAGTTATTACTGGTCATGGTAAAGGAGGAAACTATGCAAGGGAGGTTGGCTTCAAGGATCTCTTTCTAAAAAGAAAAAGTGGTGTAGCAATGATAGACTAAAAGGGTAGATTATTGAATCTACTTTTAACTAAGAGGCAACTATTAATCTCAAATATTTTATTTACATTGGCATGCATTTTTGTATAATGATACAAGTTTAAGGTTGTTTTGTTATACTGTGTATGTTTCTATTCTTGTTTAAAATATTGTACCTATGCAGCTCATTAAAAAAATGTAATGTAAAATTCTAGTCCTTGGAAGCTATTATTATTAACCTTTTAAAATAATTAAGAAAATCAGGTTAATAGTTGTTCATCTATAACAAACTTATAGTAATATTAGGTATGTTTTCAAAGTTCATACAGAGATATATTTTAGATAAATAGTCTTCAAATACTTCAGAGACCTACTGAATGTGGCATTTATGATATTTTAATAACAAGGCTTTTGATGACAGTGAGATGCTTCTGTTCTTGGCAGCACCAATCTACTTCAAAATAGGAGGGTGGGGCCAGGCAGTATGCACACCTTTAATCCCAAAACTCAGGAGGCAGAGGCAGGCGAGTCTCTGTGAGTTTGAGGTCATCCTAGTCTACAAGAGCTAGTTCCAGGACAGCTAGGACTGTTACACAGAGAAACTCTGTCTTGGAAAAAAAAATGATGGACATCGAAGAACCTCTGTATGGAGTTTGCTTTTATTGTGGCAAAGCTAGGCTGTCCTAATTGGACAAGCAGGACACAAAAGACAGCAACTGCTGAACATTGCCAAGACAAGGTAGGAAATCCTTCAAAATCCCTGCTTCACAGAAAAGTCTGTCAGATATTCTAGGCCTGTAGACCAAAGATGGGTGCCCCAACGTTACAGAGGAACCTTGGGTGACTGACTGTCCAAGCAGTCCACTGTCTCTGTCATTTCTGTAGTTTTATAGTTCATAGCAGTTGCTTGCTCTGCATTCCTGTTTACTCAGGCAATATTATATCTTTCTTGGATCTCTGATGGGGAGTGAAGACTAGATGGTATTCCTTGTTACCAAATTCAGAAAAAAAACTTACGTAAGAGATATAAAGTTTATAAGGTTGAAAAACATAAAAGCTTAAGTTGTTTAAGATGTTTTTAGGTATAAAAGACATTTTTAGGATGGTAATACAAGTTATGACAGAAAATGGTTTAGGTATAAAACTTTGAACTCACTAAACAGTACTTTCTCTGAATTTGCCAAGTACATATGGACTAAATATTGTGAAAGTAATTATGTAATTATTATCCAATAATAATAATATAATAATCATGATTATATTATTATTGTTGTTATTATTATTTTTTTGAGACAGGGTTCCTCTGTAACAATACTGACTGTCCTGCAACTCTCTTTGTAGGTCAGTCTGGCCTCAAACTCACAGAAGTCTACCTGCCTCTGCCTCCCAAGTGCTGGGATCAAAGGCATGTGCCACACCACCTGGTTGAGACTTTATCTTCAAACTAACAAAAACCCAGAAACAACACCCCTGCCCTCAACCAAACCAAACAGAGTCAGGTGAGATGCCCCAGCAGTGAAAGCGCTTGCTACAAAGCCTGACTACCTGAATTGATCTCCAGGATTCACAGTGTGGGCCCAGTGGCTCCCACATTTTCTTGTTCTTTGTCTTTTCTTCTTCCTTCTTCTCTTCTTCCTCTTCTTTAATTGGTGATGGAAGATTTGTAGCTTAGCATGCACAAAGGCTGGTTTCTTAATTTCTTAATTAAGTTTCTTAATCCCAGAACTAGAGAGGATTATAAAACAGGAGACAGCTCTCAGTCTCACTCTGAGGTTTCCTGGAGGCAGGATCACCATTTTCGGACTGAGGTCAAGGTAAGAGACAGTGACCGGCTGCTTTGCCTTTCTGGTCTTCAGGTTGAACCCCAATATCTGTCTCTGAGTTTTTATTACTCGTGCTTCATGTGATTCCATTGCACCAGTGCCTAAATGCTTAAGTTCTCATTGCTTCCAATCACAGCCATACTTGAACCTTACCGAATGCTCATGATGCCCCATACCAGTTTATTTCTATTTTAGCAGGCGCACTGACATTACCTCCCTCAGACAGACAGAGCCCAGATAGGTCAGGCAGTGCTGTCAGCATTATCGAGTGTGCAGCAGAGCCATGGGTGTCTCTGGGGCCTGAGTGTGTTTGTTCATGATGGGTTTTAGAACGTGCAGATCTCAGGTTATGGAGAAAAGGCCAGAGGCTGCCAGTTGATAAAGCTGAAGGCCTTATCTCAACGCCCAAGGTGCTAGGTGGCTGAGTTCAGGTCCCAGAAAGGAGGCTTTAAGCCAGCCACTTACCTTGCCAGAGGCTCAGCTTGCCTTGTGGAAGGGATGCGTAAGTCTCTTGAACAGGGCTGACCCTGCTCTGGGCAGGGCTGGGGGTGGTGGTGAATAGCTCTTGATAGAGAGAGTCATAGTGGCCGAAGACAGCCTGGCTAGGCGGTTGAGGCCCTGCTAGTTGTAGTCATCCCCGACTGATACAGCTACCTATCTACCGCTCCCTGAAGACCCCAGTCTATTAGGGATTTCTGCCGGACCCGTCCTCCTATAGCTGTGCAAGTTGCCCACTGTACATCTTTCTGGTTGCACTGGCAAACTAGACACTGAATTTAAACTATACATAAGCCTCAGGCTGGAGTGGGGAACAAGTCTTTTTTTGTAATTTATACTGAAGGCAGGTGTTCTTCTAGGGAACTGCCAACTCCTTCTTCTCAAACCTTTCTCTTCCTCCTTGATTCCCTGTTTTAATGTTACCTCCAGGAAGCTTGCTTGGTTTCTTGCAGATGGACCAGCTAGCCTGTCTTGAGCTTCCATGTCTGCACATTCCTTGATAAAACCAGTTATACCTCTGCTCTGATCTGTCCCTCAGGACTCAAGTATTCCAAGTGAGAGCTAAAGTTGGTGATACACAACAGCTCAGCCAAGAACTGGGAAAGGAGTGCTTTATTCTCACTGCTGGACAGAGGCGACACCAAGGACCTTGGTAGCAGCAAGTAGTCCCTCCCAGTCCAGCCTTTCCTTTTGGCATGGCAGCTGCAGGCCACTCTGGGAGCCAGGGTGACAGCCTTCACCTGGGGGTCGGGGGAGCAGCAGTAGCAGCAGCAGATCACGGCAGGGTTGGGAGTGTTAGTCTGGCCGGTTGGTGCCTGTCCCCCCAGGCTGGCATCTGATGAGGGTAGGGGCCTGGACAGTGAGCTGGGGACACTGGAGAAGCTCAGTCGGCAGTAAAGACACGACTGGAAATGTCATCAAGGAGCCAGTCGATACCAGGCAGCAGGTCCTCCCCGGTGACGGCACTGCAGCCCTGGATGCGCCAGTGGTGGCTGCGGATGGAGGCCAGGTCCAGGGCCTGGGGACAGAAGGGACTGGTGGAACCAGCAGGCCTTAGCCGGTCCTTTCCCAGTCACACAAGGGGTGACTCTAGCTGCACACCAGTGTCACCCCTCAGTGACAAATCAACATGGGCTGCTGAGTATCTGCCAGGAGCCAGGCATTTTTGCAGGGACCAGAGGTCATCTGTCTCTTGCTAAGGCCTCCTGATCCAGGGATGATGTGGTCTATTTTACCAAGGAAGGAATCCAAACTCAGAGGCTCCATAGCCTTCCACATCAAACAGCTGGTTAAAAGGTGACAGAAAGATTCTAAAGCCAGGGATAGTTTAAGGTCCCAGGGCCAGGTCAGCATGAGGCGCAATCCTGGCTCGTTTACCTACTATGTGCCTTAACCTTTCTGTGTCTCCTGCATCCTTTGTGACAGGCATTTTCCCTCATGAGACTGTTGTAGAAACAAAGAATGACGGGCCTCCAGGCAGAGAGCACTGCAATGGGAGGCACTGGCGCAGGCTGCTGCTGGGACCCTGTGAACGGTCTATTCAGTCTGTCTTCTCCCAGACTGTGCACCACTCTAGCTTCTTACTCATCCAATTCTGGGTGCCCTGCCTTGGCCTCAGCCAGGCATGGAGGTGTCTGCTTGAAGTTCCAGCTATTGCGTTTGAGACCAGCCTGGGCTACATAATATGTTCTAGGCCAGCCTAGGCTACAGAAACCCTGTCTCAGAAGTAAATAAAAAACTAAGACTGGGCCTGGGGATGTGGTTCAGTTAGTAGAGTGCACGCCTAGCAGCACACGGCTCTGGAAACAATGACCAGCACTGCAGACATTGACACTGCTGTGCACACCTCAATCCTACATACTCTCCGTGTGGAGGCAGGAGACCAACAGTTCAGGGTGGCCTCGGCTTCCTGCTAGGGCTGCTGAAACTCAGTTTCAAAAAATCAAAACTAAATAAAATTAAAGATAATAAAGTACTAATAATCTTTCAGTTTTACTCAGTGAGCCTGCACCAGGGCCCGACTCACCTCCTGAATAGCATTAGAGGACAGTGCTCCAGGCAGGTCCTGCTTGTTTGCAAAGATGAGGAGGGTCGCTCCAGCCAGGCGCTGGGGAAAGAGAAGACAGGTTGGGGCTTGGGGAGGCTTAGAGTACAGTCTGATCCTTTCTCTACAAGCCGTGGGGTCAGTGGTCAGCATGCAGGGTCAGGAGCAGGGCTCCATGGTTGTTGGGGAGCCCCAGGTGGGGTAGGCAAAGTGGACAGAGCTGCTGATGCTAGCTACCACCCAGTGAGCATCTCTCCCCTCCATGTCTCAGTTTCCTCTTCTATAATCAGGGGGAGGGTGTTGTTTACAATGATCCAAGCCCTCTGTAGCTCTGGCCATGTGCAGAAAGCATAAGCATGCTGGAGGCTGCCCTGAGGATGTTGGGACATAACCACCTGCCCCTCCTCTCAGTTTACAGGATCCTTAAGTTGTACTCCCAGCAGACTGCCCTGTTGGCCCTTTTCTCTACTTCTTCTTGGTGTGCTTGCAAGTTGAAACTCTCCAGATGCAAAGAGAAATCTAACTTCTGGGACTAGTCCTGCTGGGCCTTCAACAACAGTGACCTCTCCAGACCTGTTTAATATTCCAGAAGGGGCTACATGCATACTGGTGGTGTCTGTCTCTCTTAGCCTGGCCTTCCTATGCATTCCTGTTGGTTTCTGCACAGGCATTAGCAGCTCCCTCTTACCCTCTCAAAAGTGCCTTGGCCTCAACTAACTGAAATGTGGCAACATGATTCAAGTTGGCAGTATCCAAATGGCAATTCCTGAGCATGGCTTAGTGGTGCCCAACTGTAATCTTCACACTCAGGAGGCTAAGGCAGAAGGATACAGAGTTTGGAGCCAGCATGGGCTACTAGGGAAACCTGACCCCAGCTCCCCCAAAATCAATCCTGCCAAAATAAATAGCTAATAATGGAGTGTGACAGCACACACCAGTAATCCCATTATTTGGGAAGTAGAGGCCAGTGGATCAGGAGTTCAAGGCCAGCCTCTGCCAGTTGAGGCCAGCCTGAGATACAGAGTAAAATCCTATGTCAACAAAACAAAAAAGGTATTTTGGTCCAGACAACAAATGTCAAGATTAGCCTAATTATGATCTGAGGAATGTGGCAGCTGAGGCTCAAAGAGGTTGTGTCTTCCCAAAGCCACACAGCAAGGTTAGATTCTATGCAAGTTTCACTGGTTCCCTGAGCTTCGCCCCTGCCCTGGTCTTGAGGCAGCTTCTGCAGTCATGGGACTGAAACTCAGGGTGATGAAGGGTAAAACCAAAGAGACAGGAGTCCAGTCTCTGCCCAGGGCCCAGTGAAGGATCACCCGCTTCACTATCCTGGCGAATCACTGCACACGCTGCAGGCAGAAGCCCAGGGCGCACCTCCTCCACCAGCAGGCTCTGCAGCTCACGCTGACAGTCCTGCATGCGCTGGCGGTCGGCACTGTCCACCACCCAGATGAGGCCATCTGTGCTCTCAAAGTAGTTCCGCCAGTAGGAGCGCAGAGACTTCTGGCCACCCACATCCCAGATGTTCAGTTTGAATCTGGGAAGGAAGGAGCAATGAAGGTCAGGCTGGTCCTATCCCCACTGCTTTCCCCCAGCCCCACATGGCCCTCAGTGACCCTACTCACCCCCGGTCTCTTCCCCCAGCCCCACAGGGCCCTCAGCGACCCCACTCCCCCCCCCCCCCGTCTCTTCCCCCAGCCCCATGGGGCCCTCAGCGATCCTACTCACCCCCGGTGCTCTAGGGTTTTGATGTTGAAGCCCAGCGTTGGGGAGATGGTATCCACATCTTCCCCGTTGAACTTCTTAAGGATGGTTGTTTTGCCAGCATTGTCCAAGCCACTGGGGCACATAGGCTAAGGAGAAGTCCCTGAGTTCTGCTGGAGGGCATGTCATCACACTATCAACTTCTTAGGGACTAGTATTTTCCTACTGGATACTGAAGCAAGTTGAGCACATGTCTGGCCATACTTGGCTTGAGATAAATGTGGAAGTATCACAATTCCATTTTATCATCTCGGCCAACTCAAAGTAACATAATTTATGCAACAAATATTAAGTGCCTATTATGTGTCAGGCCCCTCAGGTGTTGATGGACAAAGTCTTTGCCCTGATGGTACTTAAACACTAGCAAAAGAAACCAAACAATGGGGCTGGAGAGACGGCTCATCAGTAAAGAGCACTAGCTGCTCTTGCAGAGGACCTGGGTCCAGTTCCCAACACCCACATGGTGGTTCACAACCAAACACTGACCTCTATGGGCACCAGGCACGCAACATGATGCACATACATACATACAGGTAAAATACTCAAAGAAAAAAGTCTAAAAAAACAAAAAAGACTAAATAAAGCAGGAGAGGAGAAAGTTGAGTACCTGGGGTCCCTGAAACCAGTGAGAGACATTCCTGAAAGGAGTGACTTTCCCCTTAGGTACCAGATAAGGCTATGTGTTGTCTTGAGGCCCAAAACAGACAGGCCCAGTCTTCTGCAGGACCAAGTAAAGTGGGAACCACCTTCTAGACAGGAACCACTACCTAGAGGTGGGAACCACCTTCATCTGCTTCTGGAATGAGTCACAGCCTCTGCTGCAGAGAACAAACCATTAGGTGAGCTCAACAGCAGGTGAGAAGTTGGTTTGACCACAATCTGAATCAAGGGGTGAGGGAAGGAACAGGCTTTGCGTTTGGAACCTCTCCCTGCTCACCTGACCCCATCTGTGAGAGCGGAGTAGAGTACTTCTCATCATCTGCGGCCCCACGTTAGCCTGGGAAGCTGGCTGCTGTCATCCTGTGCTTTCCCACGCCATTCCACCTCTTACGGGTCCCTCTCTCCGTGAATTCCTCATTGGCAAACTCCCATCTCTCCTGCGCGAGCACCCCGTGTCCACCCTCTGCCATCTAGTGTTTCAAGCGCGGCTTCCCTCTACAGTGCATCCTGGGAACCGGTGTTTACACTTGGCTGCACCAACCTCTATTCTCCTGCTTTTCTTTTCTTTTTTTTTAAATATTTATTTATTATTTATACAATATTCTGTCTGTGTGTATGCCTGCAGGCCAGAAGAGGGCACTAGACCTCATAACAGATGGTTGTGAGCCACCATGTGGTTGCCGGGAATTGAACTCAGGACCTTTGGAAGAGCAGGCAATGCTCTTAACCACTGAGCCATCTCTCCAGCCCTCTCCTGCTTTTCTTTAAAGACAGGGCCTTACTATCTCATCTGTAACTCTATGTAAAGAGATTGATATCAAACTTATGGCGATTCTCCAGACCCTGCCTCCTGAGTGCTAGAATTACAAGCGTGTAACATCATGTTGGCCCTTTCTTGCTGTTTTGTTTTTGAGACAAGGTCTCTCTCTGTGTAGCCCTGGCTGGCCTGGAACTCACTATGTAGACTAGGCTGGCCTCTCTTTTTGTTTTTTGCTTGTCTGTAGACAGTGTTCCTCTGTGTAGCCCTGGCTGTCCCAGAACATGTGCCATAGACCAGGCTGGCCTCTGCCTCCCAAGCACTGGGACTAAAGGTGTGTGGTACCACGCCTGTTTTTGTTTTGAGTATTTTATGAGTGTTCTGCCTGCATGCATATATATGCAACAAATGAATGCAGTGCCCACAGAAGCCAGAAGAGGACCCCTGGACTGGTCACCCACGGCTCCTAGGCACCAAGTGGATACTGGGAACTGAACCCCTGCTCTCTATGAGAGCAAGTGCTCTTAGCTACTGAGCCATTTACACTTACCCTCTTGCTTTCTTACATCTACTGTTCCCCTGACGCTTCCCAAGCCTCATCTCGCCAGGTGGGTCCCCGATCTTTAGTGCTCTCCAGTGGCTAGGTGGCCCGTCTTGCGCTCCACCCAAGCACTGCCACTTTTACGTCACCCGGATCCCTGCTACTCATCTGATCTCCCACAAGTGTCTGAACACCTGGTTCTCAGGGCTCCCCAGCTGGGTCATTCCAGAGTCGTTTCTATGCTGAAGATTGTCACCCACCTGCCCAAACAGAGCCCAGGCTGGTGTCCCAGGGACCTGCTCCCCTCCCCTTCTAGCTTAGCTAGTGACTCCTTGTTGATTACTCTGGCCAGAAACCAGAGACTGGGGCTTCAGCTCCTCCCTCATATTCTCCTCCAATCTAGCAGCAGGTCCTACCATTTCCTCCCACTTCCATGACCTCACTTCCTCCATCTTGCTCCTGGGCTCTGCCTCTTTCCAGCCACTCTTCCTTCTCTGGAACATGCCAGGCTCATCCTCTCCTAGAGCTTTTGCACTTGCAGGGCCTCTGTTCTCCAGACATCTCTACCCTCCTCAAGCCTCTGCCCAATAGCTACTATTTTGATGTGCTCTTTGACCATTCTGGACTGCGTTCTTCTCAACCCAAACTACACATTTTATTTATTTGCTTTATTGCTTTTTTTCTCCTCTTCTGTTATCCATAACGAAGGCTTTTTCGTTTCCCTAATCACAGAAGGTGATCAATAAATTGTAACCTAATGACTTGTCTTTCTCAGAACTGTCTAAAATGGACAAGAGTGGTAAAGTTCTAAGGGCACATTAATTTCCCTCTTCTCTCCCTGCCAGTTTGTGGATCACAGATGCTCAGGCAGACAGTCACAACGCAAAGTGGGTAATGCAGGTGCCAGTGAATGCAACACAAGGTCGGCAGGGGCCCTGAGTGACAGTTAGACCTGTGGCCGAGTCCACGCCTACCCGCAGGGCCTGGCCGGTCCACACGCCCCTGGGATTCCAACCCGAAGGGAACTGCCGGGCCTACATGAAGGGGAGGGGGGTTCAGCGTTGGGGAGGAGCGGGACCCACGTCGAGCCAGCCCGAGAGACGGTGACGTCCTAGTCACCACCACCACGCCGCGCCTCCCCATGACATTGGAGACCCCGGTCCAGGCCCAGCCTTCAGGCCCACACCGCGGGCATTAGTACGCAACCCCCCGCCCCGCAGAGTGGTACGGCCCGCCCCGGCCCCACGCAGAGCAGTGGTAGCGCCGCGTGCGTGACGCACCACCGGCAGTGGGTACCCACGGCGGCCGCGCCCCCGCGCCCGGCCCCGCCCACCTGGCGGGTCCCTCTACCCTCGCGGCTGCTGGGTCGCTTTGAGGATACAGCATGAGCAGCCGCAGCTCTCGTTCTTTCTGCTTCATCTTCTTCAGAATGGTCAGAAGCCCCATGATCTCGTAGCACCCTCCCGGCCGCCGTTTCTTCTAGTCCCGGGACCCCGCTCCCGGTTCCTATTGGCCAGTCTGGTGCTTGGTTCCGCCCTCGGCACCACGTGATCGCCGGAGTGCGGGGCGTCGCCCCCTAGCGGCGCGGCGGCGAGCTTGCTGCCTGCTGGATTAACTCTTCGCTTCCGGATGGCTGAGGGCTCGGGGGCAAAGTCCCCTAAGCCTCCGACTCCGAGGCCTCGGCCGGGCCGCGAAGCTGACATCTCGAGCTGTATCTCGTGTGGGTAAGGAGAACCCACGAAGGGATTCTGAGCCAGTTGTCCGAACCTTCTTCACAAGGGGCTGACGAATCATCCGCGGACCTTAATTAGCCAGCTTCCCGCGCTTCTTGTGACTTGCATTATCCTCCTCTGCCAGTGACGGAGAACGGATTGATCCTGGTCCGGGACTCTGTCGGAAATGGCCCTGTGCTGTCTGTCGAGGGTGATGATGCCCTCTAGGGGCCGTTTGGAAATGTGCGGGCTGTAAGGGCTCCTTTGGGTTTCAGTGACACAACAGTCACAGTCATTTAAAGCTCTAAGCTTCCTGCAATGCAGCGATCAGACCCGCACAAAGGATTGCCCGGCTAGGAAGCCATCAGGTTGAGAAACTATTCCAGCGTTCAGATAAAACTGGTCGGGCGAGCCGGGCGGTGATAGCATACGCTTTTAATCGCAGCACTAGGGAGACAGAGACAGGTGGATCTCTGAATTCAAGACCAGCCTGGTCTACATAAGTTGTTCCAGGATAGCCAGTGCTATGTAGAGAGAACCTGTCTCTAAATAAATAAATAAGTAAACAAGCAGATTCACAACAAACAAAAACAAGAACTTGAAGCCCCCTTAGGGACATGTAGCAGTTGGCTTTGCCGAAGAGTTAGGTTTTTTGTTTGCTTGTTTGTTTGTTTTGTATTCTGAGATAGTTCTATTGTGTATAATCTTTGCTGTCCTGAAACTCCCTCTGTAGATCAGGCTGGTCTCGAATTCACAAAAATACATCTGACTGCCTCCTGAGTGCTACCATTAAAGGCGTGCACCACCCCCTAGTTGGTGGCACACACTTTTAATCCTAGCACGTGGGAGACAGAGGCAAGTAGATGAGGCCAGCCTAGTCAATATATGGAGTTCCAGGACAGCAAGGGCTACATATAATGAGACTCTTGTCTCAAAAAAAAAATATTATTATTGTGTGTAAATTGTGTGTGTAGAGGGGGAGGGTGCACATGCAGCTGGAGGTCAGAGAACAACTTTATGGAGCTGACTTTTTTCTCTGGGCAGCAAACTCATCAGCAGTCTTTCTCAGCAAGTGCTTTTCCCAGCTGAACCGGCTTACTGACTCAAAGAGTCAGCCTCTCTTCTCAGCCCTTCCCTTGAGGCCATTCTTGTCTTTTTTGATTTGTTGAAACAGGGTCTCAGGCAGTGAAGACTGGCCTTAAACTTTCTGTGTAGCTGAGGACAGTGATGAACTCTTGATCCTCCTCCCATTTCCAAAGTGCTGAGATTATAGATTGGCCCACTAAGTCCTGCCCATTGTTTGTGGGTTTGTTTTGTTTTTGTTTGCATTTGCTGTTCCGTTTATATGCCTATAAATGTTTGCTCCCATGCTTGTCTGGGCAGCATGTGAGTGTCTGGTGCCCCTGGGGGCCAGAAGAGGGCATTGAAGCCCTTAAAACTGGAATTATGGTCAGCCATCAACCGCCATGCAGGTGCCGGGAATGAAGCAGTTGGTGGTGTTAGCTGATGCACCATCTCTCCAGCCCCCTTTGTTGTTGCTTTGTGAGACAAGGCCTCCTGTAGTCCATGCTGGCCTTGAGCTCCCTGATCCTCTTATCTTCACCTCCCAAATCTGGGATTGCAAGTGTGTACCACTATCAGTCAAGGCCTATGAAGTGCTGGGGATCGAACACAGGGCCTCATGAATACTAGGGAATCATTCTACCAACTGAGCTATACTCCCAGACCTAGAGTAACTTTTAAGAACTGTAAACAGAAGTTCCTGTTCAGCCCAGTCCCACAGCCATTTAGTCCCAATTAAACACACAGAGGCTTATATTAATTATAAACTGTTTGGCCTAATAGCTCAGTCTTATTATTAACTAGCTCTTACAGCTTAAATTAACCCACAGTTCCTATCTATGTTTAGCCATGTGGCTTGGTACTTTTTCTCAGTGAGGCATTCTCATCTTGCTTCCTTTGCCTTTGGGTGGTGACTGTGTCTCTGCCTTTTCTCTTCCCAGAATTCTTCTTGTCTGGTTTCCCTGCCTATACTTCCTGCCTGTCTACTGGCCAATCAGTGCTTTATTAAACTAATACAAGTGACAAATCTTTACAATGTACAAGAACATTATTCCATAGCAAAGGACTGGGAAGGGGTGTCTGGGAGGAGGAGCTAAAGGGGGCAAGTGTAGGGGGTGGATGGGAACTCAATACAGTATATATACATGTGTAAACTTAACCAAATAATTTAAAAAAAAAAACAAAGTTGGGATCTAGCCCAGGTTACCTTTTCCTCTGCTTCATGGAAAAGAGAAAAGGGTGTTCTCAGAACATCCTAGAGAACCAGGAGAGGAAGCTATATAGAGCTGGGGTTCTAATTAATTATAACCATATACAGCTTGAGAATTCGTATGTGTGTATGTGGGGAGTCCTCCACAAGAAAAGTGAAATTGCTGGGCGGTGGTAGCACACGCCTTTAATCCCAGCACTCGGGAGGCAGAGGCAGGTTGATCTCTATGAGTTCGAGCCCAGCCTGGTATACAAGAGCTAGTTCCAGGACAGGCTCCAAAGCCACAGAGAAACCCTGTCTCGAAAAACCAAAAAAAAAACCCCACCCCCCCCAAAAAAAACAAAGAAAAATTTAATTAAAATGTTCAAATCGTATAGCCAAGCTGAATGTGGGCAATGCATGCCTCCAATCCTGGCACTCTGGAGGTGGATGCAGGATCAGGATCAAGGGCCATCTTCAGCTACTTAGAGAGTGAAGAGCTATCCTAGACTTAGTCTCAAAACACAAGACAAAACAATTTAACCAAATCCCCACAGTTGGGAAAGCTGCCTTTGAAGAGAGGGGACTCCTGAAGTGGACTGTGACCTAAAGCTGAGTTCCTGAGTCTCTGGGCAGGGCAGGGCTCCATCTATCCGAATGAAACAACTGAGTGTGACTTGTGCTGCAAGCGATGGCTGGTGCTTGCTGAGGCCGAAGTGTCTTGAATCAGCAGTTCAAGGGCCTGCTGAGGCTAGTCCTCGCTTGAACCAGGACTTCAGGACTGGCAGGACGACAGAGTGAGACTTCCTCCCCAAAACTATAAATAAATAAAGCAGGTGTCACCTTCCAAAGAGCCGCTCTACTCCCCTGTCACCTTCGAATGACCATAACCAAACTTTTTATTCTGGAACAAAAATGAAAACTACTAGGACTCAAGGACATCTGTTTAAATGACAATTGCTGGGCTAGACAGATGGCTCAGTGGTTAAGAGTACTGTCTGCTCTACCAGAGGACCCAAGTTCAGTTCCCAGCACCCACATGGCCAACTTGCAACTCTCTGTGAGGCAAAGAGCCTAGTCTTACTTTTCATGTCCCATGCCCATAACAGAGGCACCAACCAGCACTTGGTGGCAGCATACTCAAATATAGGTTTTGTCCGTGGAATAGCAGAGACCCGGAAAGTAGAATGTGCAGCCTAAAATTGAAGTGGTAACTGTGTACAGACTAGTTCTGCCCCGGCCTGCTTGAAAACTCTCACTCATCTCCGAGGGAGTCTCCAGTGGTCAAGAGCAAACCCTGTCGTCAGTGTTTGTTCCTGACTGGTCAGTGGGCGTGTGCTCCACGCAGGACTCTGTCAAGTGCTTCAGAAGACAGGTTAGGGCACTCAGACGTCTTCATTACAGATCTTGGCCCAGCTGCCTCATGTGGGCTGCACAAGCAGCAGCCCGTCCCACTTGCAGGTGCGCAAGGAGTGATTATTCTCCCGCAGCAAGTCACTGGCAGGCATATGCCATCCTCAGGCCTCACCAGGACCTTAGGTATTGGGACGTACGCAGACTCACATGGCCAGCAGCCACTGTCCTGCTCACTTCATCTGTAGCCCGTGGCTTCCTTTAGAACAAGATGGCAGAGGAGCAGTATCCCGCATACCCCTCATACCTGTAATCCTAGCCCTTAGGAGTGAGGCAGGAGGATTGACACCAGTCTGAAGCCAGTTTGAGCTACATAGTGAGTTCCAGCCTAAGTTAGGCTACATAGAGTGAGATCCTGTCTCAAACAAAGCATGCTGGGTGTGGTGGCCCATATTTTAAGGCCCAGCACTGGAGAGGCAGAGTTAGGCAGATCTCTGTGAGTTTGAGGTCAGTCCAGTCTACATAGGGAGTTTCAGGACAGCCACAGCTACATAGACTCTGTCTTTAAAAAAACAAACAAAACAAACAAAAAAAACCCACCAGGGTGGTGGCAGTACATGCTTTTAATCTTAGCACTCTTTTTTGTTGTTGTTGTTTTTGTTTTTTGAGACTGGGTTTCTTTGTAGCTTTGGCTGGCCTCAAACTCATAGAGATCCACCAGCCTCTGCCGCTTGAGTGCTGGGATTAAAGGTGTGTGCCACCACCGCCCAGCTAATCTTGTCACTCTTGAGTTCAATGACGTCTGGTCTACAGAATGAGTTCCAGGACAACCATGGCTACTCAGAGAAACCCTGTCTTGAAAAACCAAACAACCACAACAGCAACAAAAGAAGAAAGAAAGAAAGAATGAAATAAAGGAAGAAAGAAAGAAAGAAAGAAAGAAAGAAAGAAGAGAGAGAGAAATCATAAAACCAAAACCCAGCAACAGAGAAAGCTATTAAAGAAACAAATGGCATCAGCCCCTCCCCCAAAACAAAGCTGTCACAGTGTCTCAGTTGCTTTGCTCATAATTCCTAAGGGCCATAATGGCTGATGACTGGTGATGGGAATGGCTCTGTGTTTTCAGGTGTCCATCCTGGCTGGGCCTCACTTGGCCACCTGAGAGTGGGAAGCAACTCTTGTCTCCACCCACACAGCTTCTGTTCACCTGGAAAGCTGGGCGGCTCCTGGCTGGTTCCTCTGCTCCTGTTGTTTCTTTGAGACAGGATCTTGTTTGTAGCCTAGGCTGTCCTTGACCTTATGGCCATCCATCCTCTTGCCACAGCCACTTGAGTGCCAGGATTGCCCGACTTCGCGGGTTCCTTTTAACCTCGGCAGTTTGAGTCTCCAGAACCTAAGCACGTCTGCTAGTGCTTGAGTGCTTGGTCGCTTGGAGCCGTCCTGGTCCACTGCTCCCTTCCACGTTAATCCCACCTGGGCCTGGAGCACACTACCCTCCTTTGCCTGCCTCCCAGTGCCTCTCCGTTCTTTCTTTGCTCAAATGTCCAATGTCTAAAACTGTGTGTTCTTGTGTAGATA